GGGGGGAGGGGTGTTCAGCGGAAAAGGAAATCCTAGAAAGAATTGACGAGAGGAACAGATTTTATACAATATATAGAGCACTCCATTTACAGGCACCAAGAAAGATATCAGGAAGAAAACTGATATACCTTCACATACACTGCCTGAATGTAATTTTTATCAGCGCTACTCAATTCTGACGGAAAGATTTCTATTTTTGTTCTCACTACCCCATGCTGATCCTCACACCGTCTGTTGTATTTTTTTGGTTGTTTTGTATTTTTATATCGCACTGCTGTTGGAGCGTGTTTGTTGAAATATGAGTTTATAATGGCAGGGGGTTAGTGAGGTTATCTTTCAAAACATCCCGCAGTCTTATTTCATGTTTAGAATAACACAGTGTCTTTTACGACAAGGAGTCAAATGTTGTCTTGGAGCTTTATCAAAAATACCACGGAGGCTCTTTCCATCCGTTTTCCTGATTTAGTTCAATATAAAAAGGACATGCTTATTTTAATAATGGTTAATGTTTATACAGGATCTTAGTCTGGGCATCTGGTCTCATAGAGAGGGATAACGCTTGGATGCACTATCTGTATAGGCAAAAGCTTCACAGCCTGTCTGGATTACGCGCTGTCTTGGAATAGAACCGCAGAATAATACAGATTCATGTTTTTACAATACACTTAGTGTATGTTGTAAAGTTATATTTTATTGTCTCAACAGAGAAACCTCCAGATGAAGAAGCATAGAGAAATATATCATGGCAACATTTGGGATCTGGGGAAACATTAACATTTTTTAAAATTTAATTGAACCTGCCCATTTTTATCATTTGGCGCTTTTGTGCTGGATATGGGAAACATTTTAACATGCAAAAAAAAAAAACAACTCCCTGAGAAGTACCTCGGACCAAAACTTAGAGCGAACTGTCTTTTGTGTTTTAAAAAAGGCTTAGTTCGGGATTTGTATAATGTAAATCTCTCTGCCATTAGGAAAGCCCGAGATCTATTTGAGAGACTTGATAATTGCAG